CAAATAAAAATAGTCTTCTGTTAATTATTTTGAACTTTAATGATACCAGAAATATCATGGGGTTAAGGGGCCTTTAAATCGCTAGAATTCATTAGAGTGTTGGATACGGGTCTTTAATATGATGGAGGAGACTGACTTGACACTACTTCATTCCCTTAGGCTATGGGGTATCATTACGCTTGAAGAAGGTGCCACCTCAGTTCACAAACCATTTCACAACCTCATTACAGCCCAAGGGGCGGTATTCACGCGTAGAAAGAAAGGGAGAAAAAAGGAGATACATAGAAGAAGGGAGAGAGCCTCCTGAAGATCCGTGAAGCCACCCACTCCACAAGACGACCACAGAAAAATTGGGCGGTGTTCGCATAAATTGACCCTTCCACGTCGGATTTCATATGTTGAATCACCTCCATACCTAACGGCCTTAAGGTGACTAAAATACCACCCCCACCTTCACGTTATGTGGAAAGATATTGATGACTAAAGAGGCTCAACATGGGAAAATGGAATGGACTAATCATATGTCAGATTTTTAATTTTTCTTTTTAATATTTTTTCTTCTTAAATATAATGCTGTGTTGTTGATATTTCCTGGTAAATATGAAATGATGTGAAGAAAATATGACAAACAAAATGATGATAGAGGATGTGATGCATAGTTCCATAAACAAGTATTTATTCATTTCATACCTTCAAATCCACTTGCCATATTATTGTTATATTAGTTTCACTTTTTTCTTTCTCTCGTATCTTTTGTTTTTTTCTATCTTTACTGTTTTATAATAAATGATAACTCATATAAACTAATTAAAAACATATAAAATTAATTCGCAAATATATAATTAATAAAAATAAAACAGAAACCAATTAGATTATATACTAATCTTAAATTCCAACAATTTTAAGAATATATATATATATATATATATATATATATATATATATATATATATATATATATATATATATTAGTTTATAACCCGTGGGAACCACGGTTATAAAATTAACTAAACTTTCATAATAAAAGTTTATAATTATTAATAAATTATTTTAAATAAATTATTAATTAGGAGACGTATCAAATTTTTAAAGTTATTATAAATTCAAATTTAACATATAATTAAAAAATATAAATTTAAATTTTGAAATGAGTTGCCTAATATATCTACATGACAATAACATAATATTAATAAGAAGTTATATTAAAGTGACACTTGGCAAATAGAGATTAAAACTATATATATATATATATATATATATATATATATATAGAGAGAGAGAGAGAGGAGAGAGAGAGAGAGAGAGAGAGAGAGAGATTGTGGATTAATGAATCAGCCAAACACCCTTGCACGGTAGCAATCCGTCACCAAAGTCGTTTCGACAGCGGTAACGTCGACCACCATTTCCAGCCGCATCAACACCATCCATCTTTAAAATTGTGATTTATAATTGTGTTTAAATATATAAAATATAAATAAAGTGGTAAAGTTATAAAGTTACCACGCAAAGATAAAATAGACAAATTTGTCAAATTTAAGGACTTTGATGTCAAAATCCTAAATAAAAAAACTAATTAGTTGACTTAAAAAAACAAAAATATTCGCTTGTCAAATGACTTAAATATTGCAATTTTAAAAGTTATAGCGAATTTCTACATAAAAAAGACAATTACATTTGTTAGACAAATAGAAGAATATGATATTTTTTTTATGAATTTATCTTATAAATAAAAAATAAAGATTTTGTTTCTCAAAATATAAATTCTCAAGTCTTTTTAAAATACATAAATGGTTTTTGAATACACCAAAGGAAAAAATAAAAAAGTAGTTGTGACAAAGCAAACAAGAGGACGAGGCAGCGACGGTTTTTGAACACTAATCGGCGGTAGGCGGTTGTTTTGGAGTGGCCGTCCTTCCGGTCAAAACGTGCAAAAAGAAAACTAATAATATGTCGGCCAAAAAACACAATCTTAGTTTTTGTTGTGTAATGAAGAAACGAAGCGATTGGGCCTTTGAGCATTTAGTTACCCATAAAGACTTAACATATTAAGTTAACAAACAACTGTCGTCACACGGTTCTTAACCTCCTCATTCACCTACTACACCAAATCAAATCAAAAGCAGACTTTTTGATGTATAAATGCATAAATATGTAACACGTTTAATAAGAGCAAGACTAAAGCAACTAAAATAGATGGTTTGGACAAATAAAGTGTAAATTTGGGTCAAAACGAGTAATTATACACGGATAAGGTGGTGCTGATTTAAAACATGTTTTGTTTATATGTTTACAAGAAATATATTATCACAGTTTAGGCCAACTCTAACCGGCTTTTAAATTTAGCATCATTTTTGTGTTGGCTCATTTTTTATATTAAATATAAAAGCCTTTAAAAATTAAAAGTGTTGATTGGAATTCAAACACCAATTTGATGCTAAATAATCACCATTTTAATGTTTGTGGTTAGAAAAGCTCTTAGAAGGTGCACAAATTAAAAATACTATCAAAACAAATTTTTTATTTAAACTTATACTACTTAGAAGGTTGGTCTTATTAGTTCTATTTTACCTCAAGTTACAAATGTATGTCGTATTGGCTTCTTGTATAAAGTTTGCTTATGTGATTATTTGGTTATTGATTGGGTTGTGTAAGCTCTATTGTTTTGATTATTCAGTCGGATGTTGTTTCATGAAAAATTTTGATCGGCCTAATATTTTTGTTGTCTTTTTTGTTTTTAATAATGTAACTAATTAGGTTTGATTATGATCTTTTATTCTTCTACATATTTTTAAAGATGAAAATGATATGTGTTAATAACTTGTTTACAAAGTTTTCCAAAAGAACACAAAGTATTTCTTTTCCATTTTTTAGCTATTATTTATTATTATGTTGCCAAGAGACTCAAAACTACAAATCAATTGTCTTTTTCTAATGCGTCAGACGATGTTTCAACATGGTAGTTATTGCGTTTCTTGGGTGATTTGATGATTTTGAAATGACATTCTTTTTTGTGACTCGACACCAAAAAAATGTCATTTTCATAAGATCATTACAGGTTAATTACTTATAAGAGTAAAAAAAAATATGCATAATTTTGGATATTACTTATACAACACCATTATTTTGGATATTGTATGTTAAGTCGGTAATAATGGTTGTTTTATGTAGAAATTATGGATGTTTACTAATTCACATCCAATGTGTAAGAATAAACTGATCTAATCCGATTAACTATTGGATATTGTTAATCAATCCAATCCAATTACTTTTGGTCAACATAATCAAATCAATCAAATTAAACATTGGGTTTTGTGAGTTTTATCCCTAATGTCCTCGATAATTTCCATCTAATGTAATCTTATTTTTATTAGAACAACATAAATATTATTAACCAACTAGTACCATAACTAGCACCATGTTGGAGGAAGAAACAACATCATAAAATAGAAATAATAAGAACGAGGTTTGAGTAACCAACCAATCCAGTTAACTTTCAGTCTAATGTTTTTGTTGGAAAGCCAAAATAAAGACTGTGCAACAATTTTATTGAATCACTTCCTTAGGTTTTTCCGCTTCGAAACTCCAAGAGTTTTGAAATGTCAAGATGACACAGAGAGAAGTAAGGATAATTGCATCAAAAAACTTCTTTATGAGGTCGAATGATCATACTAATAGAATCAATTTGCATTTGTATAACCAATAGGGAGATTCAAATCCTACAAACCCCTAATCAAAGCCCAAACAAGAAATGCAGCATGGCAAGAAATAAATAATTAGTCACTAGTTTCGCACGAAAGATCACAAATCGGGTATAAAAAGAATTAAGGTTAATTCTCCTATTATCTAGATTTAATCTTATTTTATGTTCATATCGTTTATTTTCTTTATAAACCTTTAGGAAATATAAATGCATATTATAATAAATTTAATACTTAAGAGTAATTGAAATATTTTATTGTAAGTGGATAATAACGAGAGGAATGATATTGGATATTGGTTAGATAAATTTAGTTAGGTTCATTTCGATTTTTATTGGATCTGAATTGTCATTTAAAAACTGATCGATTAAATTTGAAAATATGAAATTTTTTGATCGATTTGATCCGATTACATGTGGATGTATGATGTGTGTGGGTCGATTTTAATTGGATTGGTTTGTTTACATTGGATCTATAGATTTGAGTTTAAGAATCTATTATGTACGATTAATTGCATTTGACATAGTTTCTTGCGCTTAATAGGTCGTTAACATAAGTACATTATATTGATTATATTTTATAAACACAAATAATATTTATTTTTGTTTCTTTATATTTTAATCGCCTATTAAAATACATAGTCATGAAAATAAGCAGGCTTATTAAAAAAATAAAAGACACGTATTAAAAAGCTTATCCTGTTATTTACCTTATAAAGAATTATTATTTGAAAAAAAAAAAAAAAACAATATCAACAAACTGAAATATTTAATAGGTAGTAGCAAATTCCCATTCGAATCTCTATCTACGCACGTATACATTATGCATTTCACAAGCAAAATCGCCCAATTCCCGTTTCAAAGCATGGGTTTAATGTTTACTTTATTAATTTCATTTTCTGAATATTCTTTAACATTTTGTGAAATTAATAATTTTTGGGGTGGAATAAGAGAAAATACGTAAAATAAGCGCCAAGTGTTGGTATTTGGTAGCAGTGTACTGTTGAAAGCCGGTCAAGAAACGACACTTTTTGTCAAAATAAATACAATAATCAAAATTAAATTTGAATTTTTGATTTTCTTTTATTAATTTCTAAAATGAAAAAAGGAAAAGAAAAAAAAAATTGCCGTTCAAAAAAAAAAAAAAAAAAGCCAACCGTCCTCGAGAATCTTTAAATAGCCAGCATGAATCCCGACTCTTAAACCCCTCAAAACTCCCCCCACTTCTCTCTCTCCTTCCCTCCCTTTCTCTCTCTAAAATTCACGATATAAAGTAGAAGAAAAAGAAAAAAAGTTTTCAAAAATGTGCCAGCAAGCTTCATCTCCTCGTTGCAACTGTAATTCAAATTCAACCCAACAAGTTACAGATATTTTCGACCCTTTTTTGATCCCGGAAAACATCAAACCACCTCAAAAAGTTAAAACGAAAACCGTTGATGATGATCAGCAATTCAACAAGGCTCACAACAACAAGAAGAAAAAAACCCAGGTTTCATTAGCTGTAATTGAAGCCATTTCTATAGGGAGAATCGCTATCCCAATGATCCTCACGGGTCTCTTGTTGTATTCCCGATCAATGATCTCGATGTTGTTCTTGGGTCACCTCGGTGAGCTTGCACTTGCAGGTGGTTCGTTAGCTGTCGGGTTCGCTAACATCACAGGATACTCGGTGTTATCTGGATTAGCCATGGGAATGGAACCCATTTGTGGGCAAGCTTTCGGGGCTAAAAGACACACGCTTCTTGGCCTCTGTTTACAAAGAACTGTTCTTTTATTGCTTCTCGTCTCTTTCCCTATTGCGATTCTGTGGCTCAACATGAAAAGTATCTTGCTTTTTTGTGGTCAAGATGAAGAAATCGCAACACAAGCACAGACGTATCTTATATACTCACTTCCTGACCTTTTGGCTCAATCTTTATTACACCCATTACGGATTTACCTCCGTTCACAATCGATAACTCTACCTCTCACATTCTGTGCGTCTCTTTCGATCGTTCTTCACATACCCATCAATTATTATCTCGTAAACCACCTGAATTTGGGAATCACAGGCGTCGCGATTAGTAGTGTGTGGACGAATTTTAACCTGGTGGCTTCATTGGTGGTTTACATACTCATTTCCGGCGTCTACAAGAAAACATGGGGAGGTATCTCGAGAGAATGCTTAAAAGGTTGGAAATCGCTTTTGAATTTAGCTGTTCCGAGTTGTATATCGGTTTGTCTGGAATGGTGGTGGTACGAAATCATGATTTTGTTATGTGGGCTGTTGGTGAATCCGAGAGCAACCGTCGCTTCAATGGGGATTTTGATTCAGACCACCGCATTGATCTACATATTCCCGTCGTCACTCAGTTTCAGTGTGTCAACCCGTGTTGGTAACGAGTTGGGTGCGGGTCGACCAGGGAAGGCCAAGTTGGCCGCCCTTGTTGGACTCTGCTGTAGCTTTTTCTTGGGGTTTTCTGCTCTGTTTTTCGCCGCCAGCGTGAGAAATTTGTGGGCGACGATGTTCACTCAAGATAAAGAAATCATAGCATTAACTTCCATGGTTCTTCCGATAATCGGTCTTTGTGAGCTCGGAAACTGCCCGCAGACGACGGGGTGTGGTGTCTTGAGAGGCACGGCCCGGCCGAAGATTGGAGCAAATATCAATCTTGGGTGTTTTTACCTGGTGGGGATGCCGGTGGCGGTGGTGTTGGGATTCTTCATGGGGTTTGATTTCGAAGGTTTGTGGTTGGGTATGTTGGCTGCGCAGATGTCTTGCGTGGTGACGATGTTGGTGGTTTTGGGGCGGACGGATTGGGAGTTTGAAGCGGAGAGAGCGAAGGAGCTAACAGAAGGCGGCGGCGACGGCAACGGCGATGTTGTTGTTGCTGACAACGAAGAAATTAAGGGAGAAGAGTACAAGTTAATAAAAGCTGAAAATAAGGAGGAAGAATCTCTGGATTTTGGGGCTGATTTAGTTTAATGACTTCATGGATTCAGATTTTTTATTATATAATTTATATTTTTTAGTTTTTTAGTTTTGTAATTTGAGGTGTTTGTAAAGTATAATTAGTGGGGGGGGGGACAATTTTCACCATTTTTTAATAGTTTAAAAGGCTAAACCAAGACACAATTTTTGGACTTCTTTTCCATCACTAGACTCCTGCTGTTTGTTTTTTTATTTTGTTTTTTTTTTAATTTAATTTAATTTAATTATGTTATATTCGAACGAAGTATGATCTTAACTTACACTTTTGTGAATTAAAAGTATTTATTGATTTACAAAACCAATTACAAAATACTATATATTTGGTTTCGATTTAGGTTATTTTTGGCGTACTAGCTGAAAAATAGTTGAAAGTTGAAAAACTAGTTGTTAAATAAAAAGCTAGCTGATAGCTGAAAAACCAGCTGATAAAAAATGACGTTTGGTAAACTAGCTGAAAAGCTAGCTGAAAGATGTGAAATGACATAAAAAAAAACATTTCAAAGAATGTGTTTTTATAATTAATTAAGGAGTATATTTGGAAGATTTTAATAAAAGCTCTTAAAAAGCTAGTCTATGTAGTTTTTTAAAAAGTTAGTTTATAAGCTAGCTTATAAGTTACTTTTTTGCTTGTCAAACACGACAACTTAAAAAAGCTTGAAAAATAAGCTAGCTTTTCAGTTAGCTGTGACGCGCCAAACACAACATTTGACAATTTGGTTTCCGATTAAGTTTCTCTCAGATTATGTGGTGATCGCAGTTGCATTCAGTAAACAAGAGTTGACAATTTGGTGAAAGCTAGATTCTTAACTTTTTTTAATATAATAATCCATAGAGATCTTTGAGAACTCGTGCTAAAATATTGATACCTTGAAGCAAGTTTTTATTTATAAAGAATTAATAAAAACCAGTAGTGTATTTATCTACTATCCTGTGCTAAATTATTATACATGTTAACAAGATAAATATTAGTTTTTATATGCCAGATTCAAAATAAATTTTAATATCACGAATATCTTACTTAAAAACGGACTATGAGCATCGATACTATCTTAAACAATCGGTTAATTGTATGCCTACAAATGTTCCTATCCAATAAAATTATAACAAGTGTCATCATTCCATATTTTTTTAACTACCTCATTAAGACTATACTAGAAATATATCAAATAAAATTAAATTGAATGATGATTTGTCATAATTTTAGTGGATAAGAATAATTATAAGCATAAAAGATAGGAGGTAATTTAATTTCTCATTTGTAATTTTTAAACGTTATTCGGTACGGAAACCAATGAAAATGAGATTAAAACAACTTACTCTTTCATCTTAGAGAAAATCATCATCTCTTTCTTTTGAATTATATTATGGTTTCCATTTAAAAATAAACTAGAATTTACACCACCGCATGTTGTAGTGTCTCCTATATTTAGGGGTGAGCACGGTGCGGTTCAGTGCGGTTATTAGCCAAAACCTCACCACTAATCGCAAATGCGGTTAATCCATTTTCAAAACCGCTTGTTGCGGTTATTTTTCCGGTGCGGTTATGCGGTTATTTTTGCGGTGCGGTTTTGTTTTTTTTTGTGTTGCGGTTATTAACCGCATTGATTTGATGCAGTTATTTTGTGTGGTTTTTAACCACAGTTTAGAGCTCAAACGGTTTTAAGAGTTCAAACATATTACTTGTAATGATAAAAAAACTCATAAGGTATAAGACAATTAACTTAAATTACAAACAACTAATATCTTAAAAATGTCAAATCAATATTAATTAACAATAAATATCTTAAAATTGTCTAATTTCAGCATTTTTCAAAGTTAAACATAACAAAAAACCAACACTTTTGTCTTCTAGTATTTTATTCATCTTTCATCCATGAAACTTGTCTTACTTTCAATATTTAATATATTAATAATTAGTAAAAAAAATTGTATATAATATATGCGGTGCGGGCGGTTTTTTTTGCGGTTTTGAAAATTAATAACCGCACCGCACTGCAAATTTGCGGTTTTTGAAAAACAGAAAACCTCACCATCGGTTTTTATTGCGGTTGCGGTTTATGCGATTTTTGCAGTTAATTTTAGTTGCGGTGCGGTTTTTGCTCACCCCTACCTATATCCTATGATGGTGTGAAAAACACACTCTACCAAATATATGTAAAAAGAAGAGTTTTTATATTTTGGTTCTATTAATAAAAGAAGTTATCCTTGATTTTTTTTTTTAGTTTGATGAATAAAACCGATAAACACTTGCAAAACAATAATTGTGTCCGATTAGTAAACATTTTAAGGGTTAAATTGTAAAAAAAATCAAGGATGATTTTTTCGTTAATAAAGTTAAATTATAAGGATTTTTCTGAAGATTTTCTTTTTTATATATACTAAATTTTTGAAGAAATCTTATATGTATTTATTAAAACATAAAATAAAGATATCATCTACATCAATTTCACAAAAAAAACTCACAATAATGATAATTTAAATATCATTTTGAGATTTTTTTTCTGATTTTTTTAATAAATATCATTACTAGATTTATAAAGATTCCATCTCAATACAATTCCTAAATAGATCACCATGATACATGTGGCCTAAAACGTACTCCTTACGACAACTCAACAAAAGTCATAGTAATTGTATTTAGCACGTGTTTTTATAGCTATTGCAGCTTTATATTAGATTGTGAAGAGAAAGAACAATAGGTGAACGATAGTGATGATGGTGTGTAACATCCCAATCCTCAGGTATAAAATTCGATTTCTTTAGCACATTTTCTTGGACCAACTCGACGAGTTGGAAAGCCTCAACTCGGCGTGTTAAGGTGGCGTTGGCTGCGTATATTAATGGACCAACTCGGCGAGTTGAGGTGCCTCAACTCGACGAGTTGACAGCTGAATATGAAACCCTAATTTTTAGGGTGTTGCACCCTATTTAAAGGCCTTAAGTTCCTTGGTTGGCCTCCTTACCAGCCTCCTCTGTCCAGAAACCCTAATTTTCGTGCATTATCTTCCAAAGTTGAGTGTGTGAGCTTGAAGAGTTGATTTTTGGTGTTCTTTTGAAGGAGCTTGAAGTTTGAGGTGTCTAGATTGAAAGGAAGGCTATAGATCCAGGACCTCCTCATTTGTTGCAGTCATTTTAAGGTATAAAGTCGACACCTTGCTTCCTTATTTCTTACATCTCTTTCCTTGAAAGTCTATTGGGATTTTTGGCTCATTGTTGGATTGTTCATGGGGTTGAGCATTTCATGGGTTGTCACCTTAGATCTGGCCATTTTGTGGCCTCATTTGGCTTAAAGTTGCAAGCTTTATTAGGTTCTAGGTCTCATTCATGCATTAAGTTCTTTATTAAGCCTTTCATGAGTTCTAGAGCTTCTTTTGGTATGCATGAACGTAAAGTTCACAACTTTACATGGTTTTCCAACCTCAGAGTATCAAATCTACATCTTGAAGCATTAGATTCGATAAAAAGGACTGAATGTGTTAAGCTGGGAAAACTCGACGAGTTGGCTAGTGTTTTCCCGACCTTCTGAGTACCGTGGAAACTCGACGAGTTTGTGGGTGCACTTGACGAGTTGGGTCAACATTGACTGTTGACCTTGACCTTTGACTTTGACTTTGAACATGGTTGACCAAGCTGACCTTTGAGGGCATTTTCGGTATTTCGGGGTTTGATGTGTGTGAAATGCACTGGTTTTAATCCTACTTTTGAGTTATAAATTAAGCACACAAAGGCAGTGAACCTGTCTTTTAGTGGTATAGTTGGATAAGTAGAGTGTCGAACTCAGGGAACGGTAAATTAAAACTAAAGACTAATTTTATCTAAATTAAATAGTAAATTATGGGTTTTCTCTAGTTTTACAAGACTAGAAACTTACTAATACTACTTAGGCTAAGAACTAGAAAAACAAAGATTTAACTGAATTTAATAATAAAATGGACTTCTGTTTAGTTCAACTCAATTGATCCTATGGTTGATATTATGGTAATAGTGCAATGGATTAATTCTTCTATTGGCTACCGATACAAGTGATTAGCCTTGCGTTCGCTACGATAATCCTTAGAAAACAAAATAACTCAAACAGTGATCAGTTGTCTAATTTAATTTAATTCACTAGATTATTTATTCGGGTTAATTTAGACTTATAATAGCTAACTAAATGGTCCTTTAGTTTACCTCTTGCTGATGGTCATCAAACAAGCTCACACATGAATTTACCTAATTTTTCTTATTAATTCTAGTTTCGCGTTCGTTAGTCCTAGACATATGATAAAGTGGTCACATAACATATGGGGTTGATAATTAAAGATGTTCATACTATTTAATTATCTCCTATTAACAGAAAATTAGTTATCATTCACACACAAGGTTCTTTAACAAGCTAAAAGTAACAAAATCACCAATATTTAATTAATCCTACCATTAATCAAACCATAATATCAATTTTGTATCCCCAAACAGAAGTTTAAGAGTTTTAGCTCATGATTGAGGTAATTAACAGCAATAAAACGAATTCTAATGTCTAACCATAATTGAGAACAATAGAATAGATTAGAAGAATGATGAGAATGTGCCTCAAATCTTCTTCGGAATTGGATTCTAGGTTGTATCTTCGTTCTCTAGGGTTCTTCTGGCTCTTCAATCGCAGCTTGCTTCTCCCCAAAGGTTCCAGCCGTCCTTCAATCGGATTAAGACCCGCTATTTATAATTATCACAAAACAGGGGCTACTCGGCGAGTAGGTCGTGGACTCGGCGAGTATTAGTGTGAAATCCGTGTTCGGTAAGGAATCTTGACTTTTCTTTCGGGAACATTCTAATGAACTCGCCGAGTACATGCGTGGACTCGCCGAGTAGGTGTGTAGTTTCCCTTTTTCTTCATTCTTTGGTCTCTAATTGCTTCTCCTTTTTCCTTCTGCTTCCAAGCATGTCTTTTGGACTGAAAACACAATATAAGCATTATTAAGTACCTTTTGTCCATATTATGCATATAATTAGCCAAA